TTGTTTCCTCACTGTCAAAGTGGTAGCCACGGGGGAACTCATTCTGGGGAAGATAGAGGTGACAGAAACCTGTGGACGAGAGAGATGCATTAGCATAGCCCATAAATCAAACTGCTTTATTCAAATTCAATACAGCTCCATCTTCACTTAGCCCATAATGCTCAAACTGGTCTTTTGATGCTTCACTTGATATTTCAGGTTTCTCAGAATCCAAGTAGTTGACAATGTTGAGGGTGTTGGTGGATACCTAACATCAAAAAGGTCATCAAAAAAGCACAACAAAGAATGTTCTTTCTATGCCAGCTCAGAAAGCTCCAACTGCCCAAGGAGCTGCTGATACAGTTCTACGGAGGAATTATTGACTCTGTCATCTGCACCTCTATAACTGTCTGGTTTGGTTCTTCAAGCCAACAAGACAGACACAGACTTCAGAGAGTAATTAGGACTGCAGAAAAAACAATTACTATCAACCTGCCTTCCATGGAGAATCTGTATACTGCATGAGTCAAAAAGAGGGCTGTGAAAATATTTAGAGACCTCTCACATCCCAGACATAAAGTGTTTCAACTCCTACCCTCAAAACAACGCTATAGAGCATTGCACATCACAACAACTAGACACAAGGACAGTTTTTTCCCAAACGCCATCACTCTGCTAAACAAATAATTCCCTCAACACTATCCAACTATTTACAAAGTCTGCACTACTATTACTATTAATCTTCTCATCACTCCTTATCACCCATCCCCTCCCTCTTGTGACTGTATGACTGTAACTTTGTTGCTTGTATCCTTATGATTTTTATTGACTGTTTCCTAGTATGATTTGATTGCTTATGACTATCATTAAGTGTTGTACCTTATGATTCTTGATGAATGTCTCTTTTCTTTTATGTACACTGAGAGCATTTGCACCATAGACAAATTCCTTGCATGTCCAATCACACTTGGCCAATAAAGAATTCTATTCTATTCTATTCTATTCTATTCTATTCTATCCTATCCTATCCTATCCTATTCTATTCTATTCTATTCTATTCTATTCTTCAGTAGTTGCCATACACAGGCTGAAGCTCAAGAAGCTGGGAGACATTATCTAAATTTCCTGAATGCTGCTCATGTAAAATCCCTCTGAGAAATTGTAGGGGAGTTCAGTAGTGGCTCCATGCTGCTCACAAGAGCATAATTGCTACCTGGAAAGGCTCAACATGTCAATGAAGGAGAAGATCCAGAAAGAGGGCATTTTGTTGAGGTTCTTCTCAAAAAAAAAAAAAAAAAAAATAGAGATGGCCTACCAGCAGGGAGTTGCAGAGATTTTTTTTTTTTAAATTACTTAATGAAAACTTCAGTCATTGATATTATTCTTTCTTACCCAGCACACGCTCGCCCAGTCCACCAAGGTCCATATAAGCTGTTTGGAAAGCTTCTCTCCATTGCTCGTCAAGGGCCAACTCCTGGCCCTTAATCATGATGGTGGAGCAGCGTTCCAGGATCCTCTCAGGAGCACCTTTCATCACCAGCAGGTGGCGCTGGTCTCTGGGATCTTCAAGCTCATGGATAGACAGCTGAAAGTAGGGGAAGACCATAGAATTAATGAGATGTGTCCATACCCAATGGGACTGCAGCCAAGAAATTAAAAGATGCTTGCTCCTGGGGAGGAAAGCTATGGCAAATCTAGACAGCATACTAAACATTCAGAGACATTACTCTGCTAACAAAAGTCTGTATAGTCAAGGGTATGGTTTTCCCAGTTGCAATGTATGGCTGTGAAAGTTGGACCAACTAGTCAGTCCTAGAGGAGATCAACCCTGACTGTGCTTTAGAACAGGGGTCGCCAACCCTTTGGACCTCAGGGACCACCAAACTCATATTTTAAATCCGGAGTACCACTAATATGATTTTTTTTAAAAAAAGATAATATATTTAATATAAAATTTTTATTTTTTATATTAATATAAATGTACTACTTAAAAATTTATATGTATGTATGTATGTATGTATGTATATGTATATGTATATGTATATGTATATGTATATGTATATGTATATGTGTATGTGTATGTGTATGTGTATATGTATATATGTATATATGTATATATGTATATGT